TAACCAATGTCATAAAACAATATGTGTACTACTGTTTCATGAGAAACTATTTGTTCTGTAAGCCTTCACCTGAAGTACAATAAAAAAAAAAGAACCCCATCCCTGGATTCCCCCTAATCCCTACATAGCTGGCAGTGGCTGCAAAAGCTTACTGTGCTTGTGAGAGAACAAAAAATGAACATGGAAACGCTGAGAGGTCAACAAGAAACCCATTCTTGGGGCCTGCCTCACCCACATCCAGTGTGAGAGGCATCCACCCTGGACCCAAAGAGCTGGGGCCACTCCTCGGACCCCTCACTGGGTGCACTGCTCCAAAGCTCCAAGTCAGTTCCATTCCAGTCAATAGGCATTCACTGAACTGCATGGGGCATGATGCTGGGCACAGGCGTACAGAAGTCAGGGTGACCTCCAGGATCATAAAATAAAGTCTTCTCTTCACAGCTGACACTCCTTAAATTCAAAGCAAACATGACACCCTCAGAGATGCTAAGAGGCCTGATATCTTCCTATGGTTTATTGGATACATAAACAGAACACTGATACAGGAGCAAAGAGCCTGTAGGAACAGCTGGGGGACCATCCTGGCACAGATCCCTAACGCCAAGAGGTGCTAGGGCAGCCACGTATCTCCAGACACACAGGGCAGTGCTGGGGCTGAACAACCTCATAAACATGTCCTTGGACCCAGTGGCACAAAATGATATGTGTGGGGGCTGCAGAGTGGGGTGCAGAGGGGGCTCTGGCCCTGGCTTTAGGGAAGACACTAGTTCAGAGACAAGGCTCGGTGCCTCTGGAGCTGCACATACACAGGGCCTGCATTTTCCATTGACAGATGCTCTCCCGCTGAACAGTCCCATGGAGCAGAGAGCCTAGAATTGGCCCCCCAGGGACTGACTCTACGATGTCCTTGGAGAAAAGACACATTGCAAGGCCAGGAGCTGCACTTGAAGGTGAAGGCACCCATTCAACAACCTAGGGTCCCTGGAGGGGTGGGTTTGTCCACGAACATTAGAGATGAGTTGTGCTAGACCCTCGCTGGGGAATTTACACACACCCCCACCACCCCACAAGAGCCATCCCACCTGCTAGGAAAGCAGGCTTTATGGAGGGAGGGGGTATTGCACAGAGCACGGGCATGGGTTTGCTCCTCTAAATCCTTTCCTAAATTGCAATGTCAGTAGCACAATATCAGGGGCTACAGGGGACTTCAAGGTCACTGAGCCCACTCAGTCTCTGTGCAGAGGCTTGCAGACCCCAACCTGACATCACAGACCTGGATGAGATGACCCAGACCTGGGGAACCCACCCTCTGGCTTTTGAAAAGTCCTTCTGAGCATCTACACACAGGAGTGCATGTTGCAGTTGAAGCTCTTTTTCTTTTCACTATTTCTGTAGTTCTGGCATAAAAAAGGCCAAGAAAGAGAATGGGCCACTGTGTCCTGACCCTGCGCTTGGTCTTGGGTCCAGTTCTGGCCCCATCTTCTCAGGAAAGCTCTCCCTCCACCAAACTTGGCAGCCAGAGTCACAGATGAGCAAGGTTGCTGCCCCTGGACCAGGGGCCCATTCCCAGACCTCAAACCAGAGATGCAGTTGAGTTCCCTGAGCCCTCAGCTGTGCCACTTTTCCATGGGTGGGGGATGGGGAGCCCAGAGAAGGAGCCAGGATGGGCAGGTGTGGCCCCTTCTGGTCACTCTGTGTGCCTCTGCCCACCATTCCACGCTCAGTACGTACCAGCTCTCCATCACCTTAGGGCTCCCTGTGCACATGCACACACACACTGGGCTGGCTGGAGCAAAGAGTGGGGGTGGCAGAGGGCGTCCAGCCAGCCCTGGCCCCCAGGCCTCAAGACCACTGGCAGGCACAGTCGGTAGGTTCCTGCACCGTGTAGGGTACCCAGGTGGCGTTGGTGGCGCAGAAGAGCTGCACGGAGCGCCGCTGCAGGCCCACCTCCCGGCAGCACTTGCAGAAGCGGGCATAGGTGTTGATGTTGTAGTTGTAGATACTGGCAGACGGGCACCTCCCATCACAGGACACTAGGTTCACCTGGGGATGGGCAGGCCAGTGAGGCAGCTAGTGTAGCTCCCAGTCTGCAAGGCCCCCTCCACCCCAGCTTTGGCCACCTTCCCCCCGACCCCCACCGTGATGCAGGTGCCACGCACAGGGGTGTTGCTCCTGCAGTCATTCTTGCGGATGGTTATGCGGATGGCCACCTTCTTGCAGGAGCGCCCATCCTCCTTACCTGGAGGGGAAAGGGTGGGTGAGGCGGCCACAGTTAAGAAGAGCTCCCTGGGGGCAGCAGGATGGGCCAGACTGGGGCAGTTAGTGTCATGCTGGAGGGTCCCTCTTCCAGCGTTAGTGCCCAAGCATGAGTGCCCTGCCCCATCAGGGGAAAGCCTTTTAACCCACATGCCCTGGAAGGAAGTGGAGTCAGGGAAGGCAAAGACAGAGCATTGTGAGCAGGTGAGACAGGGATGGCGGGCAGGGCTGGCCTCAGGGGCTGTGAGATAGGGAAGAGGAGGATTTGAGGACGGGGGCAGGCTGCCACCCCACCCCAGCCCCAACACCTGTCTCTAAGCCCTATTGTTGACGCTGGCGTGTCCTCGCCCCTCTCTAGCTTCATCTCTCCTGCTCTGAAAAGGCTTCTAGCATGAAGATTCTGCAATTTCCTGAAGGAATGGAAACCCCAATGCCCCGTACAATGCTTGTACATAGCAGGTTCTCTCGGCTTCCACATCTATCCACTGGGGCCAGGGTTTTGTCTGTCTCACAGAGCTGTTAACCAGTTGCCTCAGAGTCAATTCCAACTCCTGATGACCTCATGTGTGTCAGAGTAAAACTGTGCTTCATAGGGTTCTCAGTGACTGAGTTTTTGGAAGTTGTTCACCAGATCTTTCTTCTGAGGCTCCTCTGGGTGGACTTGAACCTCCAAGCTTTGGGTTAGCAGCCGAGCATGTAACTGTTTGCACCACCCAGAGACAAGAGCTGTTACAGGGATGGAAACTGATGAGCCTGTGGTTTCCTCTGCTTGGATGGCGCTTCCCATAGACAACCCATCATGTGGCTCACCTCCTCCAGCTCTTTGCTCCAATGTCTCCTCTGTGAGGGCTCTCCTGATCCCCCTTCTTGAAATTGCAACTCTCTGCCTCCACCCAGTGCTGCCTCCCTGTCCCTTCCCCTGCTTTATTTTATCTAGCACACTATCACTATCTTATCAGAGAAACATTGGTAACTACCTGGTTGAAGCTTAAGCTTTAGAGGCCCTCTTTTGCACAACTTCCTTCCACAATTTGTTGTGATTTCTTTTCTCATTCTAAATAAATATTCACTTTCACACCTATATTTGGATTTGAAATTATATTTTTTTTCTTAATTAGGACACCCTCAAATTGCACAAGCTTCAGGCTCCCCCCAAACTTGATGCATCCGTCTTATTACACATTTTACTTGTTATTCTGTTTCTCCTACTCAAATGTAAGCTCCACGAGGACCAAGATATTTGTCTGCCTTATTTATTGCTGTGTCTATGTGCCTACAACAGTGCATGGCATATAGTTGGTGTTCAGTGAGTATCTGCTGGGTGCACAGACTCTGTAACTCCAGATGCCCGCTGGAAATGCTGTGGAATCCTTTCTTCTGGTCTCTGGGCCTCAACACAAAGGTTTCCTACCAGCCTGGCTGGAGGACTTCTGGCCAGAGCTACATCCACTTTGTCCTCCTCTCTACTCCCAGGGGGCTCCCTCTGGGCCCTGGACAATGACAGGCTGAGTGACAAGAGGAGCAAAGAGGTGGCAGCATTGGGGCCAGCAGGTGGGCGCCAGGTGAGCGGGCACTGCTGAAGCATATACATGCAAGCCCAGGGGAGGCGGCGCGCTACCCAGCATGCACTGTTGGCTGACCGGCCTTTGCCAGAGGCAGGAACAGGGGCACTGCCCTCCCCCGCCCCAGAGCTCAGGGCCACCTAGCAGAAGGGGCATTGTTGGAAATAGCAATGCGGCTGCCCGCCTCCAGATCCGTGGGCTTCTGAGAGGAGTACCTGGGCGGCAGTGGACACTAACCCGTGGAGGAGAGGCGGGGCTAACGGGGACCACGGGAAACAGAGTCCCCGGGGAACCTGGGGAGAGGGGACATGGGTCACAGGTCACATGGGGAATCCAGGGACCCTGAGATTGTGGGTCAGAGATCAGCTAATGAGGCACTAAGCCCAGCTTTCTTATAGGATGTGTTGGGGACATAAAAGGGTCCCAAATTCTATAGCCCTCCTAGGAAGGGGTCTGAGGGCTCTAGCGTGCATGTGGCAAGAGGCCCTAAGGCTGCCTGGGACATGCATGTGTGTGTGGTTGGGGGCTACTGGCTCTGGGTGTGCAGGGACCCAGGAGCCAGGGTGTAAGGACAGACACGGAGCTCTCACACAGACTTAATCGGGGACCCTATAGGCCTGAATCCCACCTAAAAGGCACCTCCAAGACCAGGGCTCCTGACAATAAGAGAAAATTCATGTGGTGGGTATCTGGGCTGGGAGTCATGGCAAGGATAGGAGAAGGCAGAGTGGCTGGTGAGCTACCGACCTCCTGAGCCCAACGTCCCCTGTCTCCAACAAGAAGCAGGGTCTCACGTTGGGACAGGGGTGTGAGCGTGGCCTCTGCCCACCTGCATATTTGTGCCAATGTCTGAGTCTTGTGGCTGGGGTTATCCGTCATCTGCTCACCCCTGCAGAGCCACCAGCGTAGGTGCCAGGCCAGGAAGCTGGCCCTCTGAACCCTAGCATGACACCCTATGCCCCCACTAAAGCCCCTCAGCCCTGGCTTGAACCATGCTCACTCACATGTCCGACAGCACCCTTCCAGGGAAGGCACCACTGAGCCCCCGACCTAGAAGAAAAGGACGGGCAGATGAGTTGGGAGGCCCTTGGGCCCGGTGCCAGATCCCAACAAATAGGCAAAAAGAGTCCCAGAGTCCTGACTCTTTTCCTCCCATGATGCCCTAGGGCAGGAGTTCCAGGCCCTGCTGTCCATCAGCCCTTGACCAGAGGGAAGATGGGCCCCAGGCTGGCTATGAGAAATCTGGGGGGGCGGTGCTCACCTCACTGGCTGAGACAACTGGCACTGTGCCCGTGGCCCCTAGTGAGATAGCGGCTGGGTTGAGATGGTGCTGGACCTCCCTTCTTTTCTGTGGCGGCTCTCACATTCCTCACTGCCTACCCTACTGCCATTAGTGCTTCCCTGCACTAAGGATGGGGCTTTGGGTCAGCAGCCTGGGCTCTATCTCAGCTCTGGATAAGTCACCTCTTTCCATTGGGCTTAGTTTTCCCATCTCTAAAATGGAGACAATTATCCTTTACAGCCCTCCTCCTCTATTGCAAAACAGATAAAACAATGGATGTGACGTTCTTTGTAAATAAGTGTGTGTGAGTGTGGGTCTCAGTATGTATGTGCGTGATTTTTTGAAGTATGTGTGTGAACATGTGGGTATGCACGTGTGAGTGTAGGTCTTAGTATGTGTTCAGTATGTGATTTTCCAAGCATGTGAGAGTGTGTGCATATCTGTGTGACTTATGTGTACACATATGATTGTATGTATGAGTATGGTTGGATGTTTGTGTATTTGTTTTCTAGGTAAGAATCAGAAATGGTCAAATGTCCAATATTAATCTCAGGAAGTAAATAATCCAACGTTAACCCCAAGCCCTCCAGGAAATCCTCTTCCTTGAGGTGTGCCCACACTGACAGCTATCCCTGCTAGTGTTGGGCACCCAACAGCCCATCACAGGACTGGACTGTGACGTTTGTGTGGTGCATGCACGTGCAAGGGTGTGCCTGGGTGTGCGCCTCAGTGTGACTGTGCAGAGTGTGTGTGCCAGCATGCTGAGTGTGCAAATGTCCCTGTGGGCATTGTGGTGTGTGTGAGTATGGCAGACTGCCTGTGCTGGTGTACATCTGAGTGTGCCTAGATATATGACTGTATATGTGAGTGCATCTGTGTGTGGTCATGTGATGTGTGAGGATTGGGGTGTGATGAGGTCAGAGCAAAAACGCATGGATAGATGTGTGGGTTGGGGGTGGCAGCGGGGCACGGGCTCTAGGGAACTCCTCTTTCCACCTCCCTGTATGGAACACCCTCCCACATAAGGAAGCCGATGCCCCTGCCTAAGGCCGTGCGGCAGGAGGAGGAGGCAGGCCCTGACCTTGGCGCACTCGGTCTCATTGAGTGGCGGGCAGCTGATGGGTGAGCGTACGAGCACGGCGCCCAGAGGAGTGTTGCTGCAGTGGTGGCGGGCACAGTCTGCGATCCAGGACGCCCCAGGCTGGAGGGCACAGAGGTGAGGATAGTCCCCATGGATGGCCTGAGTGAGCCGACAGGGCACAGCTCCGAGGACAGTTGCAGTCCAGGACCTGGCACTGCCCAGAGCTCATCTGTTCCCAGCCCTGACCTGGGAGCCAGAGAAGGCCCTGGTCGTAGGTATGCCTAACTCTCTGAAGCCTCAATTTTCCCCTCTGGGACATCCTCCCAGGTAGGCGTTTATGGGGCAGCTTACCAAGAACAGAGAGGTGGTGCCATTGGGGAAGGTGAAGAGGCAGGACACATTCCTGCAAGAGCCGCAGCAGGCTGCCAGGTCCCGTGGATGTTGGTACTCCTGGTTCTGCAGGACAGGGTGGGATGAGATGGTCCTCAGCCACTTGTCCACCTGGCCCCTCCACTCTCCTGCTTCTTCCACTGTCTTGCTTGTCTCAGAGCCCAGAGAAGGGCCCCCTGTAGATGCTTGGGAAGGGGAACCCCGCCTCCTTCTGTCTCAGGCAGGCAGGATGTCCTTATATCCACCCTTAGCCTCCCTTACTGCTATTGCTGCTCCCAGCATCCCTTGAGAGTTAGCATTTCTAGTAACTGAGGGTGCCAGCTTTAGTTCCAGACAGACCTCAATTTGAGTCCTAGTTCTTGTGCAACTTTTGACAAGAGACTGAATCCCTCTAAGCCTCAGCTTTTTCATCTGCAGAAGAGGAATAATTCCAACCCCATTTATTCTTTCATTCACCTAATATTTACTGAGCCGTTACTACAAGTCAGTCACTGTCCTAGGTACTGGGCATGTTGGATTGCTCAACAAATGGTAGCAACACAAGCACATAAACTGAAAGGATAGGGAATGCGTCAGGTGTTGAGTAGGTGCTTAGTAAATGTGTGTTCTCTGTCAAATACCCATCCTGTCCAGGTCTTAAATCTGCGTCTTCACTCTTGCTGTTCCTCTCCTGGCCTCAGCCAGGTTGGCCCCTTTTCCAGAACTTTCTACTGAGATCTCTGAGGTTCCCATTGTTGCCCACTTCCTAGATTTGCCTGGGGAGCTTGGGGCAAGGGAGGTCCCTGGCTGAGCCCTCTGATCCCTGGAGCACTTAAGAGTCTTCGAGGAGAGCCCCCCACCTCTCATCCCGCATTGCACCCTACCGCCTCACAGTGGACGTCACACAGCACGGAGGTGGTGTTGATCTGGTAGAAGCTGGTGAGGGGGTCGAGCACATCAGTGCAGCGGGAGGTGTGGCACACACCGTCTGCTGAGAGCTCCACCACTGTCTGGCCCGGCTGCATCACCCCCAGCTCACGGCTCAGACACACAGGGGCCTTCACTGGAGGAGGCATGCAGGGTGGCAACAGTCACTGAGAGCCTGGCCGCCACACCCGCCACAGCCTGCTGGCCCCACCCATGTCTCATGGACCCCACTCACCACACTCGTACTTGGCGCAGCCACACACGTTCTCCACACTGTGCATGAACTCCTCGTCCAGCTGGGACTTCTCCCACTGAGGGGGTGGGGGGTGGAAGCGGTCAGCACCCGGTGGGGAGGCCTGGCCCCACCCTCAGGAACAGTGTGCCGCCTGGGCCCCTGTCTATGTCAGTCACCTCCTTGCAGTGGGCAGAGAGGGGGCCGGTAGGCCTGGGGGCCCTTGGCACCCTGCAAGCTCAGTCACCCTCCTGCCGAGGAAGAAGGCAATCGAGAAAATGCCCAATGTGGCTCTCGAGCTTCCCCTCTGGGGAGCACTCCCCGATGTCTTCATCCTGAGTACCCACTGGCCACATCAGCAAGGGGGCAATGAGTGGCTATGGACCTGGGGCCCTGCTTGCTCACGCCTCTTCCCCTCCTTCTTCACAGGTCCAGGGAGAAGAGGGGGCTGGGGCAGGGGACAAAATGAAAGGAAATGTGTGCTGTGTGTGTGCAGGGGGAGGTACATATAAGCCAGAAAATGATATAAGCATAACTTTGCATTTCTTAATGTATTTTCACTTAAGCGCTCAAAAGGTCTGAAGTTCAAACCCACCAGCCGCCTCGCAGAAGAAAAGACCTGCCTATGAAACCCTATGGGGCAGTTCTGTTCTGTCATATAGGGTCACTGTGAGTCCGAATCAACTCAACAACACCCAGCAACAATAACAACAGTGGCCATGTAGCTTGGTGGTTAAGGGCATGGTCTCTGGAGTCAGATTTCCTGGTTTCAAAACTTGGCTCTGTGATTTACTAGCTTCATGATCTTAACCTCAGCTTCCTTGTCTGTATAACTGAGGTAATCAGAATCAACCTCATGGGGTTGTCATGAGAATTAATGTGGTAATACACATAAAAGGCTTAGAAACGTCCCTGGCATATAGTTAGCTCTCAATAAGCATCAGCCCCCCTCCTGATCATCACCTTTGCCATCTTTATCACTGTCATCACTGTTATCACATCACCCTCACCATCATCACCACCATCTTAACGATTATCATCATTCTCATCGTACTTAATCCTCACTACAACTCTGAAGCATGATCATGCCCATTTTGTAGATGAGGACGCTGCTCAGAAGCCAGTGGTAACACGGGGAACAAGAATGCCAACCTTCAATCAAGGGCTCTTTGCACAGGTAAGGAAATAGGGTCTCCAGGGGAGGGGGCAGGCAGGAAAGGAAAGATGGGGAGGAGCAGAATCTCCATACCAGATGGCACTGGGGCACCGGGATTGTGTCGCAGTCACACTCTGAAAAACAGGAGGGGCCAGGACCCACCTCACCAGAGATGTCCAGGTGGAGGACCCCTGGGCCTCCCAGGCCCCTCAATGCAGGTGCAGCCCCTTCTCTGGCGCAGCCCCAGCCCCAGCCATGGGTGAAGGGGTGGGAGAAGCCAAAATCTCAGCCTCCCTCCATCCCTGAGTGGGAGCTGCAGCTCCCTTGGCTGGCTGGCTGGGTGGAGCAGAGATGGGTCTTAAGCACCAAGCTCCCCACCCAGATGTGGGACGAGGACAAACTGGAAAACAGACCAGTCACAGGTTTCCTTTTGCCGTCTGAAATTTATCCATCCGTGGCCCTTCTAGAATAGATGTGGGGCTTCTCGAGGGATAAACATGGCAAGGGTGAAACTTCTAACCAACATACATTTCCTAAATATATGTTCCAGCAAGCTCAGCATTGCTACTCCAAGTCTCTAACCATGAGCAGGTCGAGTTCTCACCTGTGTGCAAGCTGATTGCTGAGGTACCACTAACTGACATAAGGGATATGCCAGCTCTAGCTTCAAGGACCAAGAGCTCAAGGTAAGTGTGACTGCTGAATACTCTTCAGAGTCACTCATTTAGGCAACAAACAGTTTTAAGTGCCTATACTGAGCTTTGTTCTGTGCTCTGAAGATACAACAAGGAATAAAACAGACTAAAAACCTGGCCCTCATGAAGTTTATATTCTAGTAAGGACCAGAAAAAGACAAGCAAAATATCCAGATGCAAAACAGGGTTTCTCACGTTTTTAAAAAAACATTGTTATACAGAACTCACTGGTTTTCATTATTGATCACTGACATTCCCACCTGCTTCCCAGAAGGGTTTGAGGTGAATTTTAACAAAAAAAAAAAAAAAAAACTGTCTATTTGCTATCAGATAATTGCAATAAAGACTTTTTAAAGAAAGAAAACCTTTTTTGGAACAAGGAACTTTCTCTTGTCCTTCTTTCATCCTTGGAAGAAAAGAATGTAAGAATGCTGAGCACTCAGAGATCAGATGCAGGTGGAAGGAAGGCAATGTGGTGCCTTCCCTCTGGTGACTCTGGAAGGGCTTGGATCTGAGGAAGTTTGACAGGGGTGGGGCCTGGTTCCCTCCCCTCCCCACCCAACCCTACCCCCCATCCAGGCCCAGCCTGGATCTCCGGCCTTTGATGGGGGTCCCTGTCCAGGGACTTACCACAAGACTTGTAGGGGCAGCACCGATCTGGGCTCCACACCTCCACCAGGGTCGTACCCAGGCCACACTGCACTTGGGGGCAGCGGAAGTTCTCACACACTGGGAGGGAGGGGAGGCAGGAGACACATCAGCCTGAGACCCCTTGGAGGATGAATCCTCACAGATGCAACATGGACTAAGAAGGGGTACCTCTCAGCTCCTCCTTAAAAAACCAAACCAGTTGTTGTCAAGTTGACTCTGACTCATGGTGACCCAATGTGTTGCAGAGTAGAACTGTGTTCCATAGGGGTTTCAATGGCTGAGTTTTTGGAAGTTGATCTTCTGAGGTGCCTCTGGGTGTACTCAAACTTCCAACCTTTCAGTTAGCAGCTGAGTGCATTAATCGTTTGCATCAACTGGCTCCACCTTAGGCCCCCCTAATGCCCCCAGACACCCTCTGGGTCTGGAATTCAGGGGAGGAGTCTGGGCTCTCCCAGTATCCCTGCAGAATACTTCAGGAGACCTGAGTTCTTCGCCTGTGAGGCATTAACAACAATAATGGCAGAACCTTAAACTCACTAAACTGGGCCTCCCTTCCCTGGGTTCTGTGTCACCCTAAGAGCAGTGGTCAGACATGAGCCAGTGACCAGGGTAAACTGTGCTGACAGGGAATGTTTCCCTCCATAGGGCAACATGACTTTTCATACCCTGTAGAAACATCATCATTTGTAGCTGGCCCAGACTCAGCCCTGCTTCAGCTCACTCTACACACTAGGGCTCGTGCATCCTTTCTTCTATTCTTCAGGCTGACTTCTCTTAGTTTAGGATCACTCAGCCATTCTGATTTACCATGAGACAAACGCAAGGCATGAGGGAATTCTCCGGGCACAACTTTTTGATGGGGAAGGGAGGTGAGGGTCTTAAAATTGTAAGATTTATTTGATTTCTTAATAAAATTATTGGCACAGGCAAGGATTATTGATTGGTGTTTCAAAAAAAATGAGGTGGTAGGTGGAGGGGAACTGGACATTTGTACAGTGTCAAAGTAACAGACTACCTTCTGGTCAAAAGAAGAAAAATATAAGCATAAGATGGAGGGATCAGACTGTCATCACCCTAATCCAGGGCCAACATTAACATCAGTGCCCCGGTACCATCTGGTATGGAGACCCTGCTCCTCCCCAACCTTTCCTTTCCTACCTGTCCCCTCACCCAGACAGTATGCATCTCCTGATGTGATGATGTTCTATGAAGCTCACATACTGTCTAGCCAGATATTTTAACTTGAATCCACCAAGCCTAACTTCCAGTTTACAGGAAACACAGAGGATAGAGAAATGATGTCAACAGCTCCTACAGGAGGCAACTGGACAAATCCAGAGGTGGGACTTTCTGTAGGACCACAGCCCAGGCTCTATGACTTGGATTTATGAAGAGAAAGAGACCTATGCTAAATTAAGAGATTTAAGAGACATCATTATGATGTGGAGTTCTAAACTGGATCCTGGATTGGACAAACCTGGACGGACACGGACTGGGTATTAGATGAGTTGAAAATTTATTAACAAGGAAAGGTAAAGACCATTAACTGAAAACAGCAGGTTAAGAGAGCATGTACAGTATGATCTCATTTTGGTAAAACACACACACATATAAAGGCATAGAGACTATCTGGAAGGATATGAACTGAAGTGTTAACAGTAGAATATCTAGGAGGTAAGGAAGATTGTGTTTTCATTTTTTATATTTACTTGGATACTGTACTTTCTACAATGTGCGTAAAATGCTTTTGTAGTAACAAAAGCATAATGAAGTCTGTGAGAAGATAATACTATAAATAACTCCCTTTTATTAAACACCTACTATGTGCCAAGTGCTATTAAGTACTTCATATATATTACCTCTAATCTTCACAGCAGCCCCTCAAGGTAGATATTGTTAACTCCATTTTACAAATGAGGGGCCCTGGCTCAGAGAGTTGGTAACTTGCCCCAAGTCACACAGCTAGTAAATGGTGGAACTGGGACCCAAAACCACGACTGGCTGACTGTGCAGCCTGTACTCATTCCATCTACCTGGCTACCTCTTGGGGAAATATGGAAGAGAACATGAAGAAGACAGGGGTGGAGAGGAAGGAGCAGAGGTGAAGGGAGAGGAGGAAGGATGGTGAACTTCTGCTCAGATGAGCTTTGTAAACATTTTGTGACAAGTGGTCACTGAGACTCCACGTGGCACTGATTTGCAGGTGTGGCCAGGTCATTTGGGGATTGTCCATGGGAGTCTACCTTGTTGTAAAGTTGGTTCTCCAAACTAAATCAACCAGAGTTGCCTTTGGGGGTCCCTGGCTGAGGTCTGCACCTATACTGCTCTGTGCAAATTGAGAGTCACACAGGCGGGTTTTCTATAATCAATGTGCAAAGCAACTTTTGTAAACTGAATCATACTTAAATTTAACCATTTTATTAATTTTCATCCATTAGATTTACTTAAGGAGCCCTGGTGGCACAGTGGTTAAGCACTTGGCTACTAACCAAAAGATTCAGTGGTTTGAACCCACCAGCCGCTCTGTGGGAGAAAGATGTGGCAGCCTGCTTCCGTAAAGATTTACAGCCTTGAAAACCCTATTGGGCAATTCTACTCTGTCTCGTAGGATCGCTGTAAGTCAGAATCAACTCAATGGCAACGGATAGGTAGGTAGATTTACTTAAAGTCCATAATCCTGGCTGTACTATACTTAAGTTCTCAGTGTCCTGTAAAAATATCAGAAAGGGCCCACTTTTATTTATCATTGCAAAATAAAAGTGCTTCAGAGGCCCTAAAATGCAGAATTTAAAATGCAGTGCCTTCTGGTATACAGAGCCCTGGTGGCAAAATAGTCAAGAGCTCAGCTGCTAACCGAAAGGTCAGCAGTTCGAATCCACCAGCTGCTCCTTGGAAACTCTATGGGGCAGTTCTACTCTGTCCTATAGGGTCGCTATGAGTCAGAATCGACAATGGCAATGGGTTTGGTTTGGTTTTCGGTTCTGGTATACAGCCCCATGAGCAGGGACTATGGTAACACAGTGGGAAAAGGGATCCTGAACTAGGGGCCTTGGACTAATTGCATGAGGACTGCATTCTACTCCTGGCGAGGCCTGGGGGATCTAAGCGTTTGTCCCTCAACTGAGGTCCCCACCTGGCCCTTGCAGCCTCCATGGAGGGGACAGTGAACCCCTTTATGAAGCCTCAGAGCCGTTTATATAAAAACCAGAACCCTCTACCATTCAACCCTCATGGCCTGGCCCAGCTTTTTCATGGGGACCTGAGTTCATCATGACTTTGCTGTTCTGTGCTTTGGAGTGCAGCATCTGGCAGCTCCCTCTCACTCCCTGTTCAGCTCCCATTGGTCCTGGGAGTGACGACTTTGTGAAGGGGTCTGGTGGGCATATGAAGGTCCACCGAGCCCCTTCCTGTTGAGGCCCACCGTGAGCCCAGTCACAACTCACCACACTGGTACAGAGGGCAGCATAGCTCTGTGGTATTCCTGTCCACGGTGAGCGCCTCCCCTTCCTGACACTCGGGGATTGGATCTGGACAATCGCCGCAGGCTGAGAGGGAAGAGGGGCCACTGCTGTCACAAGTGGTCCCCCTCATGGGGGGTTGGTACAGAGCAGGTTGCTGAGTGAGGGGTGGCTTGCCAATGGCCCATGTGTGCAGGAGCTAAACTAGTGGTAGCATTTTGTGGTCTTATGTGACCTGGCCTGGAATCAGAATCTGGAAGTTCTTCCTCACATCCACCCAAAGTCTCTCACACTGACCAAGCACCAATCTCCTCATGTTTAGTAATCTAGGGGGATAAAGAGGGTCCAGTTTCCTCTTCCTCCTACACTTCTTTCTAGACACTGATCTCACCCTTCTTCAAGTGCCCATCCCACCTGAAGACCCCCTACCCTTTCCTCCCAGCAGCCCAAGGAAGCAAGGGTGAGGAAGGGGGGCTGTGACGTAGGCATGCTTGCTGCTTGGGGCAGACATGGTAAGCGCCTGGCTGATGGCTGTGTCCACCCACCACAGAAGTAGGAGGTGCAGCATGAGTCCCCCAGGCGGCCTGCAATCAGGATCTGGTCCTGGCGGCAACTGGGGATCAGCTCCACCTCACACAGGTCTGGGTCACATTCTGCAGGAGAAGACAGACTTTAGCGGCTGGGAATAGAAACTATCTGGCCACGTTTTGACCCTCGCCCTGACTTTGCCCTAATCTCCACCCAGAACCCAGTCTGCAGAGCTGTCCTTTCTCCCCCACCCTAGGCCCTCTCTCCAGGCTCCAGGCCCTGCTCAGGCTCCCCAGGGTATCCCCCCAACCCAGGTCTCTCACCGCAGCTGTAGCTGGGGCAGCAGGAGTCCTCCTGGAAGTGGGCGAGGAGCCGGTGTCCTGGGCGGCAGGTTGGGGCGAGACCCTCACACAGAGACTGGTTACACACTGGCCCGGGGACCACAGGGCCTGTTACCTGGAGGCCAGGATGGGTCCAGACCTCCAGCACTGCTAGACACCTGGCCCCCATTACTCCTCCAGACCTTAGGACCCATACTCCAGGAAGGGGCCTCTGAGATTTCCACAGAAGGTCCAGGACAGAACAGAAGAGCAATACAAGCTAATATTCATGGAGATGTGCCACGTGCCAGGTCCTGTCCTAAATCAGTGTTAACTTACATAATTCTTACAACAACCCAGAAGATAGGTACTATTATTATCCTCACGTTACAAGTAAATCAACTTAGACTCAGAGGCTATTCAGTGATTTGCAGACATTACACAGCTACAAGGTGGTGGAGTAAGCGTTAACCCAGGTACCTGGCCCCAGCGTCCATGCCTTTAACCGCTACCCCATATTGACTTATAACCCACAGCTCCTGCTGCCCAGACTAGGGTCCTCCACTCCCCCAATCCACACCCCACAATACACTTTGATTTCTGAAGCCTCGTCCAATCCATTAAGTCAGTGGGCAGAGCTGGAGTCCATAACCCCATCTTACAGTTGAGGTTCAGGGATATAAAAGAACTCACCACAAACAGCCCCCAGGCAACAGGGATCCTCAGTGGGCTGGAGCAAGGCCACCTCCCCGAAGCGTGGGCAGCTCTCAGGGCGGGGCTCGGGGCAGTCCAGGTCCACAGGGACGATGGTGTCTGGAGCTTGGCACTGGTGCCGGCAGCAGCCACTGAGCGAGCTGTTCCAGGTCTCCCCCAAGGCTCGTGGCACCCCCGCACTGTCAGTGCAGGCTGCAAGGGTGGCAAGGGGAATAGAAGACTGAGGAAGGTGGGAAGACCCAGACTGCCCCAGGCCAGGCCAGACCCTCTCTGAGACACTGACCACTCACAAAGCAAACCCAAAGGGATAGCATCTGGGCCTTTGCCACGGGCACAGGAGGGCATAAGAGACCTTAAGGTGAGGCCAGCTTTGGGGAGCACAGCCCCATGGACGGGAAGAACCTACCACACTTCTCCTCGGGGACGCAGAGTGCAGAGTGGCGCCGGTGCAAGATGGTGCCCTCAGAGCAGACGCAGCCCTCGCCCAGCACCTGGCACTGCTCTGGGTCCAGCGGGCCCAGCATACCATCCTGACAGGTCTCTGGGGGCTCACAGGCCACCACGCATGCCTGGTATGTCGAATCACTGGAGCACAGGAAGGCTGCAGGGGCACAGTGGGCACCAGGGCTAGCTCAGAACCCAGCCAGGGCTCCCCTCCAAGGGCCAAGAGATCAGAAAGGTGTGGGGAGGGGCTCAGAGCATCATTTTTGCCTCACAGCAGAGACCACGTAAATTGAGAGTTTGGGCATCCCTGCTTCCTTCTTCTGGATCTGGAGTCAGCAAAGTACATCCCACAGGCCAAATCCAACCTGCCACTTGTTTTTGTAAATAAAATTTTATTGGCATACAGCCATGCTCACTCTTTTACATACTGTCCATCTACGTATTGCTTTCTCTCTACAATGGCAGAGTTGAGTAGTTGTGACAGAGATCACATGGCTCACCAAGCCTCAAATATACACTCTGTGGCCTTTTACAAAAAAAAAGTTCGCCAACTTCTGCTCTAGACCAGTGTTTTTTAAAATTTTGTGACTGTAAAAATTACATTTTACATTGTGATCTAATACAGACATGCAGCTAGAACAGTGGTCCTCAAACCTGATCACAAAAAAAACACTTGGGAGCTTTTAAAAGACCGTTGCCAGGACCCCAGCCCAGATCAATTGGATCAGGATCCTTGGTTGTAGGGACCAAGCATTAACACTTTTGAAAGCTCCCCAAGTGATTTCAAAGGGTAGCCAGGATTGAGAATCATTAATATATTGAAACAAAAACATTTTCACATAATAATAGTTCATCTTTCTATATGTGGTACACGTTAGTATGTTCTGTTCCATTCTAACGCATTTTTTAAATGCTGGTGCTGACCCCAAAAATTGATTTCATGTCTCACCAATGAGTCAGGATTCACAGTTTAAAAAATACTATTCTGGATGTTTTCATCTTTAATCTGTCACATGCTAGGTGTGGTCTTCCTGTGAGCTGTTTCCAGCCTTTCTGGATGTGTCCACTTTTATAAATCAAACTACACAAGCTCATTCCACCTGCCTACCCCGTGAATGGTAATCTAACTGAGGAAAGGCGGCAAGATGGATCTCATGCCCATCCTCCAGGAATGAGGGGAGAGAGCGAAAGAAGAGAAAGATGAGCAAAATTAAGAGAGAGGAACTACAGGCATACCTCATTTTATTGGGCTTCAATTTATTGTGTTTTGTAGATATTGTGTTTTTTACAAATTGAAGGTTTGTGGCAACCCTGCATCGAGCAAGTCTATTGATGCCATTTTTCCAACAGCATGCACTCACTTCGTGTCTCTGTGCCACATTTTGGTAATTCTTGCAATATTTCAAACTTTTCCATTATTATTATATATATTATGGCGATCTGTGATCAGTGATCTTTGATGTTACTACTGTAATTGTTTGGGGTGCCACGAATCATACCCATATAAGATGGTGAACTTACTCGAGAAACGCTGTGTGTGTTCTGACTGGCTGTTCCCCGACCTCTCTCCCTCTCCTCAGGCCTCCCTATTCCCTGAGACATGACAATATTGAAATTAGATCAGTTAATAACCCTGCAGTGGCCTCTAAGTGTTCAAGTGAAAGGAAGAGTCGTGGATCTCTCATTTTAAATCAAAAGCCAAAAATGATTAAGCTTAGTGAGGAAGGCATGTTGAAAGCTGAGACAGGCTGAAAGCTAGGCCTCTTGTGCCAAATAGTTAGCCAAGTTGTGAATGCAAAGGAAAAGTTCTTGAAGGAAATTAAAAGTGCTACTCCAGTGAACACACAAATGATAAAGTGAAACAGCCTTATTACTGATACGGAGAAAGTTTTATGGTCTGGATAGAAAATCAAACTAGCCACAACATCCACTTAAGCCAAAGCCTAATCCAGAGCAAGGCCCTAACTCTCTTCAATTCTATGAAGGCTGAGAGAAGTGAGGAAGCTGCAGAAGAAAAGTTTGAAGCTAGAAGAGGTTGGTTCATGAGGTTTAAGGAAAGAAACTATCTCCATAGCATAAAAGTGCAAGGTGAAGCAGCAAGTGCTAACGTGGAAGCTGTAGCAAGTTATCCAGTAGATCTAGCAAAGATAATTGATGAAGGTGGCTGCACTAAACAACAGATTTTCATCGTAGACCAAACAGCCTTATATTGGAAGAAGATGCTGTCTAGGACTTTCATAGTCAGAGAGGAGAAGACGATGCCTGGCTTCAAAGCTTCAAAGGACAGGCTAACTCTCTTGTTAGGGGCTAATGCAGCTGGTGACTTTAAGTTGAAGCCGATGCTCATTTACCAGTCTGAAAATCCTAGGGCCCTTAAGAATTATGCTAAATCTACTCTGCCTGTGCTTTATAAATGGAACAACAAAGCCTGTATGACAGCATATCTGTTTACAACATCATTTACTATTTTAAGCCCACTGTTGAGACCTACTGTTCAGAAAAAAAGATTCCTTTCAAAATATTACTGCTTATTGACCATGCACCTAGTCAGCCAAGAGCTCTGATGCAGATGTACAAAGTGATTAATGTTGTTTTCATGCCTGGTAACACAAATCCATCCTGCAGCCAATGGATCAAGGAGTAATTTCGACTTTCAAGTCTTATTATTTAAGAAATACATTTTGTAAGGCTACAGCTGCCATAGATAGTGATTCCTCTGATGGATGTGGGCAAAGTAAATTGAAAACCTTCTGGAAAGGATTCACCATTCTAGATGCCATTAAGAACATTTGTGATTCATGGAAGGAGGTCAAAACATCAACATTAACAGGATTTTGGAAGAAGTTGATTCCAACCCTCATGGATGACTTTGAGGGGTTCAAGACTTCAGTGAAGGAAATAACTGCAGATGTGGTGGATATAGCAAAAGAACTAAAATCACAAGTGGAGCCTGAAGATATGACTGAATTGCCGAAATCTCATGATAAAATTTTAACAGATGAGGAGTTACTTCTTATGGATGAGCAAAGAAAGTGGCTTCTTGAGATGGAATTTATTCCTGGTGAAGATGCTGTGAAGATGCTATTGAAATGACAACAAAGGATTTAGAATATTACATAAACTTAGTTGATAAAGTAGTGGCAGAGTTTGAGAGGACTGACTCCAATTTTGAAAGAAGTGCTACTGTGGGTAAAATGCTATCAAACTTGCATCAAATGCTACAGAGAAATTTTTTGTGAAAGGAAGAGTCAATCCATGCGGCAAATTTCACTGTTGTCTTATTTTAAGAAATTGTCACAGTCTCTCCACCCTTCAGCAACCACCACCCTGATAAGTCAGCAGCCATCAGTATTGAGGCAAGACCCTCCACCAACAAAAAGATTATGACTTCCTGAAGGCTCAGATGATGGTTAGCATTTTTTAGCAGTAAAGTATTTTTTAATTAAGGTATGTACATTGTTTTTTCAAACATAATGCTTATTGCACACTTTATAGACTACCGTATAGTGTAAACATAACTTTTATATGCACTGGGAAACCAAAAAATTCATGTGACTCACTTTATTGTGATATTTGCTTTATTACAGTGGTCTGGAACTGAACTCACAATGTCTCAGAGGTATGCCTGAGCTGTATTTTTACACAAATAATGTGCTCCTTCTACATTTGTTTTTCAATTGCTACCTCCCCCTGGGAGGCATTTTCATAACCGCCACTAAGCCAATTTTTTTTTACATGTTGCTGTAAAAAAATTAGCATAGTGCACTTACAAAAATACCTCGAGGTGGGAGGGAGCAGTTGGCAAACAAACATAGAAGGCGTTGAGTTATCTGCGTAAAAATGTGGTGATATTTATTGAATAGTAACCAGGTGATGGGTATCTGTTAAGGCACCCTGCACACATTATCTCCCATTATCTTCCAAACAATCCAGGGAGGGGACTACTATTACTGTCCCACTTCACAGGTGAGGCAAAGACTCAAAGAAGTGACATAATTAAATACATTAACAACTAAATCATTTAATTTATTAATATGAATTATAATAAAGATTATTGATTGATTTCTAATTTTATTTATAAAATCTTTATAAATTCGTTAATTAAGATAAATGAATGAATGCATGAACGAATCATTAAACCCATAAAAACCCAGACTTGACCGGAGGTCTGTGAGCCTTTTTCCACTCTACCAGGGGGTGGGAGCCACAGAAGCAATGGAAGAGACCCCTCCGCCACCCCCACCACACTCACGGCAGTAGTCGGAGCGCCGCCACTCTATGCATACATGGAACTTGTGGCACATAGCCACGTATACAGTCAGTGCCACACAGGGCTGCTGCACGTACTTGGTGTCCCGGATCCACAGCTCACAGAAGGACTCTGGGGGGACCTGGGCACATGTATCAGGCAGTGCTGTCCCTGCCTCCACACCCACCTCCTTCCCTGCCACACACACACACCCCAGGGCCCAGCTCCTCCCAGCCCTCCCCGGAAGGAACAACAAGCCTGTGCAGGCTCCCAGTCTAGTCCCCAGCTCAACACCTCTGGGAGCTCACCCATATCAATGCTTCCCCGCCCTGGCCACTGGACCCTGTGCAGATAGGTCCTGCCATCCCCAGCCCAGGAGGTCTTCCCCACTCTGGACCCAGTGACACGTACAAAGCGGTGGCATGCACTGAAGGTGCGGTTGGACACCATGCGCAGGCAGGGCGAGCAGTCAGCCATGGCGCAGCTGTCCGGGCGGAAGCGGGTCTGGCCCACCGAGGTCAGGGAGCTGGGCACCTGCCAGCTATCCAGAAAGGGAGCAGGGTCCTCGGTCCTACCCACCACAGAGCCATCCTCCAGGGTGAGGTCATTAGCTGCATCCCCATCACAGATACCTGAAAGGGGCAGGATTGTCCCAATAGTCACAACAGTCACCTCCACTCCCAGGCCCAAGCATTCATTTGTATATTCCTCACAACAATTCTTTGATGCCGGTATTAGTGTTATCCCCACTTTATAGATGAGGGAAATGAGGTGTAGAGAAACTAGGATACCTGCTATGTAAGAAAATGTATTTGTTCTTAGGAAATACACACCAAAGCATTTAGGGATAAAGGACACAATGTCTCAAACTTACTATCAAATGTTTGTAAAAAATGCATACATATAAACATAACATACCTATACAACACAATTTATATGTGTGTGGGTATGTGTGTATGTATATAGACATGTCATAGAAAGAGAGAGAGAGATGCACAAATGGGGCAAAATGTAAACAATTGGTAAATCTGGAGAAAGATATATAGGAGTTCCTCATACTAGTTTTGCAACTTCTAAGTTTGATATTGCATCAAATAAAAACTTACCTCAAAAATTTTTTTCTTTGTGTTACAACCTTCCTTGCAAAATAAATAATCTTTAAAAGTTCCAAAAAAAAAAATCTGCTTTGGCAGGTTGCTAGCTAGTCACCACACCTGTTTCCTCTTCTTACTGGGCACTCAGCTAGCCCATTTTTCCCAGCCTCCCTTGCAGTTGAATGAGACCATGTGACTGAGTCCTAGCCAATGGAATGTGAGCAAAGGCACCACTACTAGGCTGGTCCATAAAAACTTCCCATGCACAACCTCCATATTCTTTTCCCTTATGTGGAGTTAGGAGCTGTGTGTTGAAAATGGCAGAGCCTCAAAATGGAAAGAGTCTGGATCTCTGAATTATTGCTAATCATTTTGGACTTTATGTGAGTAAGAAGTAAACTATTGTGTTAAGGCACTGAGATGGGGACAGGGTGAAGTTTATCTGTTATAGCAACTAGCATGACCTTAACTGCCCTTCTGGCTTCATCTCTTACCTCACCATCTACATACACTAGGCTCCACATGCACGTGTCCCTGCCCATGGCTTTGCTCATGCTGCTCCCTCTCCCTGAAATGCTTGCTCAGAGGTCCTTCCTTCAAGGTCCCCCCAGATGCAGCCATCCATGACCTTCCCAATTCTGTATGACAGTTATTGCTTTGCAGGTCTCTCTTTCACAAAAGATTTTAGCTCTCTAAGGGAGGGCAAGAACTGATTCTCATTGATCTCATCATTTCCCAAGATGCCTAGCAATGTGTCCAGGACAGAGATACAAATTAGCTGACATCTGCTCTGACACCACCAACCTCTGCTCCTGGGAACATAAAGCATGATTTAATAAGAAACCCTCAGATTTTATCAACGGTCCCAATGGCCAGGTTTTTGGTCTTAGCTTTGAGTTCCTGAGGAGTCACAAACGTGTCCTAGGGAGGAGTTGGCTCACTGGGTTACTGGTGACCACAGCACTCTTTGCCAGAAGGAAGAAATGGTGAGAAAAGGATGGTGGCGGGGGTGTGTAAGGACAGGTGTTTGTGTAAGAATGGATGCTCCATGAAATTAGGATTTTGTCTCTTTTGCTCACTTCCTATCCCCAGTGACTAGTAATAGAAATATGTGTTGCACAAATGGAAGAAAGAGCCTGGAGCAGACGTACATGTGTCGGTGTGTGCGGAGAGAGTATTTTGAGTGCAGGGCCCTGAGTGTGAACATGCACAATAGGTGCAGATTTATGGATGGAGGACGTGCGTGTGTGTGGTGTGTGTGTGTGTATAAGTGTTTCTTTTTTCTCATTTCATTTACTCATTTATTTTTATCAAAGTTATACATGTATTTAATAAAACAGATTTACAAGGCTTGTAATGAAAAGCAGCAATCCCGTGCCCCACCTCTCCCCGCCTGATTTCTGCTCCCAAAGGCAACATCTTTCAATGCCTTCTGCTTCTTTTGCATTTGCGCAAAAACATTTCTGAACAACATCTTTATACTGGTACTTCTTGATGTTATCCAGGGCTAGGTGTTATCTTTTGACTTTCTACTACGGAAGTTGAGGCTGCTTGCTTAGTTTTCTATTCCTCTCACTACCAGCTCAAATTCTCTGCTGAAAGAATTTTTCATCTCTTAATGCTTTCAAACACACTAGGTAACCTAAAACTTTCATCTTTTTCTAGAGATATTTCGCTGGGAGCTGCCGTCCCCCTGCCTTAAGCCGCATAGCCATCACCCAACCTCCCGGGGACTCCCTCAGCCTTATTCCTGTGCTGGAGCTGCTGTTTCCCCAATTCCATGCCTTCCTCTGCCTTGCTGTAAGTGGTTCCATGTCACCCATCCTCACAACAATGGCAGCCTGTCTTGGAGTGCCCTGTGTGTTGTGCCCCTGCAAGGAGCAACAGGCTACACCCCAGACTCCGCCTGTACCCATTTTTCCTATTAAAACACATTCAGTTCCTTAGGACATGCTCTCTGCAGTCATGCTGTGGTCGGAAGAGCACTAGTCCTATGTGTTGTGGCAGCTCTGCTGTGTGACCTTAGGAAAGCCACTTAACCTCTCTGAGATCCCTTTCTTCTTCAGTTCAATGGAGATACTAATGCCTACCTCTCAAGGCTGTTGTGAGAACAAGTGAGATCAGAGTGTGGAAGTGCTTTGTGAAGTACCCAGGCGCATGCAGACGGGAAGGATTATCTGGCATTAGGAGGCTGTCAGGAAGCTGACAGACAATCTCGGCTGAGGTGACAACTGGCCTCTCCCTGCTGGCAGCTCCAGCCCAAGAACACAAGATGTTAGGCTTCCCTGCCCTGGCAGTCCTGCTAGTCTTACCCTCTGGCCTGGCATCCTGTCTCAGCCTTCCCTGGGTAACCTGTGTCTAGAGGCAGGCGTGGACCTCGGAAGCGTCCCTTCCCCCCCAGCTGGGCCCCACCTCACCGCACAGGCCACGGCCCTGGACCTTGTGGGCTTTGCTGGTCTCCAAGATCATGAGTCCTGAGCTGTGGAGCCACTGGATCTGGATGTGTGAGGGCGTCTGGATCAAGTACATGTGGCCTGTGTCTTCAATTCTGAACCCATATCTGCTCACGGCGGGCCACACAGGCTGCAAGTCCACAGTCACCTGTGGTGGTGGGGGGTGGTATGTGAGCACAATTTGTCCATCCATCCATCGATCCACCCAGCCATCTGACAAACATTTATTAGGTACCTGCTATGTGCCAGGCTCTGTTTCAGGCACATGTGGCCAAGATACAATCCAAGATGACAAGGGGGAGTTTTGAAAATATGTTTATAAGCAAAAAACAAAGAAACAAGAAATGCAAGCAGGAGGCAAGCTGCATCTCAGTGCCAAATAAACGCAAATCCTGAGCCCTTCTAATCACTGTCTTCTTTCCTGATTCTGCTCAGATCATTTCCTCTGGGAGATTTTCCTTAAATGCCCAGCGTCTGGGTTGAGCATCCCTCCCCTAGGGTCTCCCCATCCCTGTGCTGACCATTGATACAGAATCTATTTGTTCCCTCATCAAAGTCTCCAGTGGACTGATTTCTCAAGGGCAGAAATTATGCATGATTCATCTTTGAATCCCAACTACCTGCCCCTGGGCCTGACATAAATTGGGGCTAAATCAATGTTTATTAAATACACGGGGAACCCCAATTCTCAGACACACATTAAAGGTATTTAAATTAAATTAAATATAACCTCTAAATTTGGTTGTATCATGGATTATTAGTTCTACTCTGCAAAAACCTGAGATAAAAAGATTAGGATTTTAGAATATTTATGACTTTGTACCCTCCTCCAAAGAATCATCGTATTTTATTAATCATTTTGAAAATTATCCAGACCGTGAACCACCATGTTGGAGTACAGAGAGACCTAGCCCAAGAGTCAGAAGACTTTGTGACCTTAGAAACAGTTAAGTGCTGGGTGGCACAAATGGTAAAATGCTAGACTACAAACCGAAAGGTTGGCGGTTCAAATCCACCCAGAGATTCCTTGCAAGTAAGATCTGGAGATCTACTTCCCACTGCCTTGGAAACCCTATGGGAAACAGTTCTAATCTGCACACGTGAGGTCACCATGAGTCAGAATCAACTTAACAGCAACAACAGCATAATGACTTTACATCCCCCCTTAAGAACCATTATGTTTTATTAATCATTTTGCAAATTATCAAGAACATGAACTTCTTCTGTGTTGGAGTGCAGAGAGTCCTAGCCCAGGAATCAGAAGGCTTTGTGACCTTGGGAGAAGCAAGGGTAGGCCCTCTGGGTGGGGGGTAAGCCATGCAGGGGTGAGGCTATTGCTGGACTCCTCCTTGACAAACGTGGACTTAAATGTGAAGTTAATGAAGCTTAAATTTCAGGGCTTCTCACTTGCACAGGCCCCTAGTAGTGTGGAAAGGCCCTAGTAGTGTGTTCACACGGCCATCCATTTTTGTAAAAGTTGCAAAAACGATTAATTATTTTAACCACAGTAATTAAGACCACTGTATCTTACCACTCCAACTTCCTCTCTGGCACACTACCCCTCCTGGTATACTTCCTCCCCTGACAGAGTGGCCACCAGCATTCTAAATATATATTCACTTGCAATTAAAATCATTTTTACATATACCTAATTTTGTATTAAGGAGCCCCAGTGGTGCAGTGGCTAACTGCTCGGCTGCTAACTGAAAGGTTGCCGGTTTGAACCGACTCAGTAGCTCTGTGGGAGAAAGACCTGGCTATCTACTTCCATAAAGATTATAGCCAAGATAACCCTATGAGGCAGTTCTACTCTGTCGCACGGTGTATCTATGAGTCAAAATCAACTCGAGGGCATCTAACAATAATTTTGTATTGGAATCCCTGGGTGATGCAAATGGTTAATGCATTCAGCTGCTAACTGTAAGACTGGAGGTTCAAACCCACCCAGAGATACTTCAGAAGAGCGGTCTGGCGATCTACTTTTGAAAAACCACCCATTGAAAACCCTATGGTACACAGTTCTACTCTGACACACATGGGATCGCCATGAGTCAGAACTGGTTTAATTTTGTATTATTTTTCTTTAAGGGGGCCCTACGCCCCTGCCTCCAACTATGTATAAGCCTCAGGCCCCACCATCCTGGACACCCTGCCCCTCAGCTGACTACTGCCCTGCCACGGAGGGCCGGCTCTTTGACACACTTACCTTTCGGCTGAAGCGGTCGATGGTGACCTGATGCGCCAGATGAGTCACACTCAGCATCACCAGACAGAATGGGGGCCAGTTCAGATGCCCCTGCAGAGAGAGCCCCATTCATCATCCTGGAGCCCTGTCCTGCTTCTTCTGCCAAGTGAGCAGGCACGGCAAGTGTGAGCATGCTCTCCCCTCCCCACTATGCCAGGCACACCCATCAGAGCTGCGCAGATGGTGCCCAGAATCCCGTGGAATACTTCTAGCTCCATATGATCTCACGCAACCCCATGCAAAAAGAAAAAAAGGCTGCCTCCTTCCACCTGGCTCATGGGGGCATTCTAGTAGGTGATCCCCTGAAGCTCGCCCCTATTGACCACAGGATACATCCTCGCAGTGATGTCCCGGCTCCTCTGCACTTCAGTGCCTTCCCACCCTGCCCTAGGAAACTGGGACAAGCTGGGAATGGCGCAGGCCTCAGAAAGTGCCAGGAGGTGGCGCACTCCACTCAACCCTTTCCCATGATCACCCAGGGAACCCTCACCTGGTCTGCAGCTGGGAGGCTGTGCTCATTCCAGGAGACTCCACAGGCAGCTGTTGTGGGAGCTTCCACATATGTCCTTGCCTCTGGCACCCCTCAAAACCCAATCCACTCCCCTCCCAACCTACTCAAATCCCTGGGCCCCAGCAGGAAGGGAAGCAAGGAGTAGTCACCAGGTTGGCACTTTTGCAGTCGAGGACGTGGACAGTGATCATCTCCTCTGGGCTCTGGCTGAGGATGTAGATGGCCTCCTTGAACAGGGCCACGTGGCTCCCATCAAAGGTAATGAAGCTCAGATCAGGGAAGATTGAGCATCGGCCTGGGGGGTGGGGCAGGGGATGAGAAGAGGTCAAAGCTGCCATGGGCAGGAGCCCAAGCTCTTTCCTGGGTGATTCGGTGGCCCTGGGGGTCTGGAGAGTCACTCATGTCAGGGGTCACAAGGGTAGGAAATCTATGGGGTCAGCGTTACCCTGAGTTAGGGAGCACACAGACCAGGGTGGAGGTCACTCCAGGGTAGGAGCACAGGGAGGATGGGAGAGGCTGTGGCTGATGCCAGGACTCACATGCACACTCCCAGAGAGGGCAGCAGCGGTCCCCGCCCACCCGCACGGCAAGGCCCAGGACCCCACAATGAGGGCGTGTGGCGCCCCGGGGACAGTGCTGGGACTGGTTCACTCGGATCAGCTGGCCCTCCAAGCAGATGTGGCGGACGCAGTCCTGCTCGGCGATTGGCTGGGGACAGAGTGGAGGGACTGCATGAGTGCCTACCCTAGAGGCTACAGCCTCTCTCCCCACCCTGCCCCCGAGGCCGTGAGGTCACACGAACCCTCCCAATGTAGGTTCTAGCAGGGCAGAGGTAAAACCAATAGGGAATAACATCCTGTCTCTCCAGCCACCCAAGGCTGTCTGGAGCCTGGGGCTGGGCTCAGGGTGAGAACTGGAGACCAGGGAACTGATACCCTGAAATCTCTATCTGTCTGGCCCGTGCTGAGAGCTCCAGGGATGCAGACATGTACACTCACTAGCTCATACTCATAGAAACCCAGGTACAACCGCACACACATACACACAAATGCAGAGACACTATCTCACAACAGTGTGGATCACACACACAGTAACACACCACATACAGGTGGCCAGAACCCTGACAAGTCACTCACGACACAGATGTCAGATGTGTTAGCCTTAAAGTCAGTTGCCAAAGCCTCGGCTGGGCCCTCGGGGATGCCCTGGGCTGGGGCTGAGTGCCCAGACTGCTCAGTGGTGGCCTCGCCCACTGGCTCCGCTGGGGGCTGAGGTCCTGCCGAGGTTCCGTGGGCCTCCGCCAGCTGAGGGAGCAGAACCAGCGAGCTCTCCCTGGAGGCAGTCCTGGCTGAGACATGGCTTGGGGGATAGGATGTGGACACAGGTGACACCGTGCCGGCCCGGGGACCCTCAGGCTCAGTTGCCAAGGCAGCAAGAGTGTGGGTCACAGCAGGCATGAGCTCTGTGGGCCCACCCAGGGTAGAGCCATATGTCGAGGTGGACAAAGATACTTGCTTGGACAGGATGGCCATCTTCTCTGTGGTGCTCTTTCCTGGGGCAACAGATACTGTGGAGGCTGCCCCCTCAGCCATGGCTACGACTCCAGAGGTGGGCAGCGTGGCTCCCAGAAGCAGGCCTGGAGCCGTGCCTGCTGTCTGGGGGGCTGTGTGACTCGGTGGGTGCACCTGGGCCACCACAGCAGGGCTGAGAGGCAGAGCTGGGCTGAATGTCCAAGCAGGTGGTGTCGTGGCCACTGCCAGAGATGTGGCCTGCTGCTGGAGCGGAGAGGTGGTGACAGAGCCTTTGGGGCTGGGCCTGACCACTGGAGCAGATGTGCCCACCTTGGCCAGGGGCAGGCTGGTGTCAGGAGGCAGGCCAGAGAGGAGCTGGGATGGCTGAGTTGAGTCCAGAGACATGAAGGATGTGGCACCCAGCCCATGAGCACCTGTGGTCAGACTGGCAGCAGCGGGGGTCCTGAGGGGCAGAGCTGGAGGCCTTGTGGCTGTGGTGGCATGCTGGGCTGGGCGGGGCAGGGCAGTGGGGATTGGGCTTGGCTGTGGCAGGCTCACGGGCTGGCCGTGCCCAGGTTCAACCTTCTCTGTAGCTGGCACCACCTCCACACTCTTGGTCGTGAAATGACTGATAGGAACCTCCTTTGCTGGTGTTCTAGCCATCGGTGGGGGGCTGCTGGAAGTTGAAATACTCTGGGCCAGGGTGGACTGGGGGATCACTGTCCTGTTTGTGACTTTAGTTATTGCAGGTGTCAGCAAAGCTTTGTGGGATCCTGAGGAGGTGGAGGGCCTGGAGGTCACTATAGGGGAAGCCTCAGGCCTGGAGGAGGGACTTGCTGGCAACTCCAGGCCTGGGAAGGGCTGTAGGGCTGTCCTAGTAGGCAAAGAGCCATGGCTTGGGACTGTCACAGCTTTGGTCAACAGTGGGAAGCGAGGTGCAGGGGGTGACTTAGAAGAGACTGTGATGTTGGGGCTCCCTACAAAGGTCACAGTCACCCTTGTTGTCTCCATGGCACCAGACCCCATAACAGGTATAGGTGTCTGTGGTGCAACGTGGAGGGATGAGGATTCTGGAGTGTGGGGGCTGGCCAGGTGGCCAGCGGTCACCTCCTTGCTGACTGGGGCCTCAGTGGGCTGGGTGGGGACGTTAGATGCAGTTAGCCCCAGTGGCTGCTGCAGGGTGGACAGGGTGGAGCCTGGAGACAGCATTGGCCCCTTGGTGGCTGCCGTGGGTGGGCTCAGGGCTGTGGTGAGTAGGGCAGCTGTGGGGACGGCTGGTCTATGGGTGGGGGCCCCAGGAGTTTCCTTTGGAAGCTGCAGCTCCTGGACACTGGGGGTGGGCAGCTCTTGACTGGGAGGCTGGGTATCATTGTCAAGGGCCTCTTTGGGAACCAAAACCACTGGCTCCACACCTGGGGAAGACAACAGAAGTTCAGACAGGTAGGGAACTGCTTCTCCAGGGGCTCATCATCGGTCAGGGTTGTGATGAGGGGCGCGTAGGCTGGATCCCTGGGTGAGTCGGGCTGCAGCCTCTGCCGGCCAGCCAGTCTGCCTGACCAACCCAGGGGACTCTGCCACATGAAGTTTGATGACTTCAGAGAATCCAGCAGGTCTAGACTTTACCCCAGACCTCGAAGAGATTCAGCGCTAAGTTTGGCTGCCCTGTGCTCTTGCTCGTGATCCTGAGCAGTACCTTCCCCACTCTGGGCCTCATTTTTTCTGTCAGTGAAATGGGTGAATGGACCAGATGGGGTCTCTGCCTTCTCTAACGAGTTCTCATGCCAAAGAACCCCTGCGCTGACTCTGCTTCTCCAGGGCTCTGGGGACTCTGGATAGTGCCTGGTCAGTGAGGCCTAGGGAGTTACAGGAAGCAGAGGAAGGGAAGAGAAATCCAGGCCACTTACAGTCCTCCAAGTAGACGCATCTCTGTGTGACTTCATCCAGGACCTTGGGGGCAGGACATGCAGGGACACAGCCTTCCACCCTGAGAACAATGCAGGGAGTAGGTTAGTGGTCTGGGGCAGGGAGAGGGTCATCTCTTCTTATCTGGATGAAGCACAGGCCTCATCTTTTCTTAATGCACACACTCGTGTGTGTCTGCTTATCATGTACACATGTGAGACTCCATAGAGACACCTGTACACAGGTATACAGGAGCACGCTACCCAAATATGTATGCTGCATGCTCCTGCAGAGGAACTCACACCAACAGGGAAACATGCGCGAACAAGGTTCAGTTATACACACACTGTTGCACATGCTCACGTGCTCATGGGTGTCTCCACAGAGGTGCATTCTCACCCAGCCTCACGTACCCTCTCAAAGCAGGCAGGACTCAAAAATATTCACACACACGTATACATATATACATACACACACACCCAACAAGCATCAGAGTGAATACCTTTGTGCACACACACAGCTGCACACAGTCCAAACACACGCAGCTCACAATGTACATATGCGCAGTTGTATGCAGTCCATGCATATTTGTACACTAACACCACACACACAGCTCAGTTATATGTACATCATCCATAAACAAATATGCACATATGTCCATACTAAGGCATATTCATCCTGGTACACACATCCCCATACACACAGCACATGAAGCACTCACATACAGTATACGTGAGTATACATAAACCTCAATGCACTCTCATGCATATGCCTTCAAACTACGTACAAGTCCATTCACACATTCATGTAAGTATGCACACAGGTATGCTCAAACACGCGGTACACACACCTTGACTCCATGCCCGCAGCCCCTTGCCACCTCTGCCACCTCACCTGGGCACGTCCTGGCAGCTGGCTGCCTGCGGGTCCCGGCAGGTTTGAAAGCAGGGGCTGGCACAAGCATCGTAGTGCCACTCACAGACGGGGTAGGCAGCCCCCGAAGGCTTGGCATCTGGAAAGGTGACCCACCCCAGTGCCCCTAGACTGAGACTGGGTGCCAGCTCCAGGTTGGGTGCCAGCAGACAGAGGTAATCCCAGTTCACCCTGTGCTCTCCCTGCCCCATGGAAGAGACAAATGGACTCATGCAGGAAAAGTTAAGAAAAAAACAAAATAAAAAGCCAAGCCAAGGGGCAACTGTATTTGTGACAGTTGGGGTCAGTGCCTTACAGATGGGGCTGTGGCAACTTGGTGTGCGGGCTGAAGACTAGGGGGAGATATGGAGGGGGTGGTTGTAGCTAGGTCTTGAGGGATGTCCAAAGAGGAGGCTAGAACCCCTGGTCTCTCCCTAAGCCAGCCCCACCACCTGCCCCTCTGGAACCTTGGTGCCCAGGCTCAAATTGCATCTCAGTCACCTCCTCCTTGCCCCCACCCCGGCAAGGCCACTGCAGCCCTCCATGAGGTGTTGGGGAGGTTCTTTTCCCTCTCAGCCTAAGACCCTGCTGGCCATCTGGCCCCAGACAAGAAGAGAGCTGCTCTTCTCCAAGCCCTGCCCTGCCCTCTCCTCTCTCTTCCCACAGGGCCTCCCTGAAGTAGCCTCCTTGTAAGCTGGTCTTAGACCTGGAGGGTACAGTTTGTCTGACCACTGCCCTTGCTGCTCTTAATAGTCAGGACAAATAGCAAGAGTATCAACAACAATAACGACAGGCAACACTTAAATCACACCAAGCACTATACTAAGTATTTCCCATGTATTTACTCATTAATCCTACAACAATGCTCCGAAGTAGGCACTATTATTATCCCCATCTTATAGATGAGGAAACGGAAGCGCAGAAGACGCTGGGAAAATTAACCTTTTCCAGGGGAGACTTTCTTGGAAGAGGCTCTGAGACCAGTGCTTTGATAAATGAAGGATCCTCAGGGAAAAGTCTATGGCCCGTGGGGGGCTTCAAAGCAGACAAGACCTCAGACCAGTTTGGCACAAGCGACCACAGACTGAACAGAGGCGTGACTGAACAGGTGGGGGCAGCCCCATGCTACCGCTCCTTCCAGATGTCCTAACTGCCATGCTGCTTCTGTGAAGAAACCCATTTTTCCAAGATCCTTCAGATCAGAACCAAGAACTTACATTTGGAGAGCAGCTACTATGTGCCAGGCCCTGAGTGAAGCCCCTGAGATACAGTCAATCCTCACAACCACCTCATGAGGCAAATGCCCCCATTTCACAGGTGAAGAAACAAAGTCAGGGAGATGGGGGCTCTCCTCCAGGTGCCAAGGGCTAGCATAAGAATTCGAATCCAAGGCCATCTGGCTTCAAAGCCTGGGCTCAAACACAAGTATTCCTATCGTGGGCAAGTCTTGCCCTAACAGGCAGTGATGGACCTGTCCTGGGTAGGGTTCAGTAAACAGATGATTGTTGAATGTAAGGATGAGCTTGCCCAGACCTAAGGTGGGGTTTGGGTACAGATAAGATGAAGAGGCTGGCTGGAGACACAGACGTGGACATGTAAATGGACCTGTTCATACAGCACAAGATGTTCCTACAGGAACAGACATACCTGTGCCCAAGCAGGACCAGGCTGAAGTGATAAAGAAATGGTTACTTCCTCAATCGGTTAGGCACAGAAGAAATACTTTGGGGGCAGACCCACCTGATAGGGGATGACAAAGCCCTGGAGCCCCTTGGCCTTGGCTGAAAAGTTGGGCAGCTGCCGCATCTATGCCAGGTGGGGGGGACCTGCTGGATCCTCAGCAGCCCGGGGCCCCAGTGCGCAGTCTTTGAGCTCATGGAGCAGGCGTGTGTTCCCATCAGCAAGAAACCTGAGCCTCTGGCTATGCAAGCTGTGGCCAGGACTGCTTTCCCCTTCACTTCCACAAAGGCCATGCTATTTTTAGACCATGTAATTGGCCTGTGGCAGGAGGCAGGGTCCATGAAATGGTCTCCAGGAGCTGACTGGGCCCCGGGCCACACTGCCCAAGGCTCTCCAGAACCCACCATGGAGGTTGGGCCACATCCCATCTCAGGGATGGTGCCCCGTGGCCTGCCTGGGCCGTGATAGTGAGGATTCTGTCTTTTGGAGGCAAGTGGAGGGCTGAGGTGGGGAGAGGGCAGGAAAGGTGGTTGAGTGGAGAGGGCAGAGGGGCCGAGGGTGACGGCAGGGTGGATACGTACCCAGAAGGCGGAAGAGTGTGCTCCGTCGGAACGCCTCCGTGTGCTCGTACAGCCGCAGGACCAGTGTGGGGCCCGACACATAAAGGAAAGAGCCGGGATCTGCCAGGGACTCCAGGGCCACCAGGCCCGCCTGCCATGTACCCCGGTGTAGTGAGAAGGTGGCATGGTGGTAAAAGGTATCACTGAGCTGCCACTTAGCCAGCTCCACAGACCCATTGGCTGTAACATGGAGGAAGAAGTTGGGTCTGTCAGCTGCCTCCAGGGACACTACATCGGGGTCTGCAAAGAGCAACATGGGTAAGGTTAGCACAGCGAAGGGTCCAGATGGGGTGTGTGTGTGTGCACACATGCATGTGTGTGCGTGTGTGTGTGTGTGTGAAGTACAACATCCAGGCGCATGTCTGCACTCTCAACGACTCACCCTGCAGATTAACTGGGCTTTGCTCCTCCTTGCCTGCCTGTCTCCCCTCAGCCCACCTACTTCTGCCTACTGATTGTGCCTCTGCTCACACCCTCTCTGGCTGAGATGTTGTTGTTAGTTGCTGTTGAGTTGATTCCAACTCATGGCGACCCCATGTATGCAGAGTGGAACTGCTCCATAGGGTTTCCAAGCCTGTGACCTTTCAGGAGCAGATCGCCAGGCCTTACTTCCATGGTGCCTCTCGGTGAGTTTGAACAGCCAACATTTTAGTTAGTAATACAGCACGTAACCATTTGTACCATCCAGAGACTCCTCCTGCCTGAGATAAAACCCAAAATGCGTTGCTGTCGAGTTGATTCCGACGCATAGCGACATTATAGGACGGAGTAGAACTGCCCCGTAGAGTTTCCAAGGACTGGCTGGTGCATTCAAACTGCCGACCTTTTAGTTAGCAGCCAAGCTCTTAACCACTGCGCTACCAGGGCTTCATGCCTAAGATAGTGGAGGATAAAAGAAGTTGTCCTAACAGGGGGGACTTAAACTAAGACCTTGGAGGTGCAAAGTCTCAAGTCCTGTGTTTCACCTTAAATATTTCTGTGACTTTTACCTTCCACTCTTCACGTTTTTATTTTTTTTTTGATTGCTCTATTTGAGAGTCAGCAAGGCATAGTACTTAGGATAAAGGACTCTAGAGCCAAAGGCTGGCTCCTGTCACTAATTAGCTATGTTGTTGTTAGGTGCTTTCAAGTCAGTTCTGACTTGTAGAGACCCCACGTACAACAGAACAAAACACTGACCAGTCCTGCACCATCCTCACAATTGTTATGCTTGAGCCCATTGTTGCAGCCACTGTGTCAATCCATCTCATTGAGGGTCTTCCTCTTTTTCGCTGACCCTCTACCAAGCATGAT